TTAGGCACTATGCTACCAGAGCTCCTGGGAATGTGGTCTACTTCCTGTATATAAAGAGAAGCTTTTGAGAATGGTCTCTAGCCTTTGGCATGCTTGGACCCTGCATGTAGCCGTGCTGTTGCTCAGAAGCCTGCCATGCTCTGCCGACCTCGGGGATTACACTGGACTTAAGTTAATGGCCTGCTGTGTGGATTGGTAACATCGGGACTGTGCCTTTTTACTTGTCAACCTAGGGGCTTCTCAGCCTCAGCAGCCAACAGCTGTCTGAGTGAAGAAATGCCTCTAGCTCCAGTGGGCCAGGAGCAGGAGACAGAGCTGGACCACAAGATTGAGGGGCTTTCACCCAGCCCCTAGAGCCTAGCACTTTTAACTTGGACTTAAAACCTCCAAGTTGTAAGAATAAACTCCTGTTTGTTAAGGCCATCCCATTTGTGGTTTGTTTCCTGTCAGAGTAGCACTAGGTAACCAGAACAGTGATTGTATGTTGGTGTGACTTGCCCACGATTTTCATTTTCTTTCTATGTTATCTACGCAAGCAGGGTACTGTGCTGTGCTCCTCTATTCACTTGTTGACACCACTTATACACTCACCACCTGTCTCCTTTCCTGTTGTCAGCCTCTTGTATGTCCCTGCCAACCTTGGCAAACAGAGCCTATTCTTTGGTCCTTGGTATCCGAATGAGAATGCTATGACTTTAAAATTCAAAATGTTTGCCACTTGTAAAGATTAAAAATGGCTGCACCCTCGGTCACTTTAAGTATCCAAAATGGCCACCACTTGTAAACATTCAAAATGCCTGCACCTTTGATCACTTTAAATATTCAAAATGACCACCACTTGTACACATTCAAAATGGCTGCGCCCTTCAGCAGCAGAAAGTCAACAGCTCAGCTTGTCTCCCTCCTTGCTGTTTCCTATGCTGTTACTAGTCATAGGCCACCAGGCATCACTGCAGCACTTGGTGACCAGGGCTGATCTTTAGGTCAATTCTCAGGTCCCAGCACGACTTGGAAATATTCAGGCTGTTGGTCCCGTCAGAGTAGTTGACAGTCTGCGGCTCTGACCATCTCTGTACTCACTGTTTTCGTTCAGGTTTTTCCAGTAGTTGGTGCCTAATCCACTTCTGTATAATTAAGCTCAGGGCTCCAGGATTATCTTCTGTATCTCTGTCAATTGGTTTCTCTTTTCTTTGTTGAAGAGGGTCTGTGTTGCTTGTCTGCCTGTTCCTCCATCTTATCAGAAGTCCTCTCCACCATCTTTTCTGAAGCTATTATGGCTTGTTTAAAGTTAAACCAAGACTCACCTAGGACCAATACCAGAAGAAATTTTAAAACTCCTAATTACCCATAGGTGTCTTTTTCTGAGGAGTTCTCGTAATGTAGAGCCTAAGGCATTTGACTGCTAACCAGAAGGTTGGCAGTTCAAGCCCACCAGCCACTCCTTGGAAGGAAAACTAGGCAATCTGCTTCCGTAAAGATTTACTGCCTTGGAAACCCAAAGGGAGGTTGCTATTAGTCGAATTTGACTCAATGGCAGTGAGTTTGGGTTCTTTTTTTTTTTTTTTTTTCTTTCTCTGAAGCTTCTCTTTGTATCTTCTTAAAGTCTCCACAAACTGGAGGACTGCCCCCAGACTGCAGCAAGTGTTGCCATGGTGACTACGGCTTCCGAGGCTACCAAGGCCCCCCTGGACCTCCAGGCCCCCCTGGCATTCCAGGTAAGGATAAGTGAGGTGTGCTGTTGCTAGGCTAACTGTAGACTGTGCCAAAGTAAGAGCAAAGAATTTGGACTCATTTGTGTGTAAGCTAAAGGGTAAGCAAGGAAAATCCAAAAGAAAGAGAGTTGGGTAGGGAAGCTGGGTTTATTAAGCTGCTTTGGGTGGAACACTATAAACTTACAGTACTTATTACCCGTCACAGAATCCCACAGCCTGTATACATCCTGGGGTACCAGATTCCCAGGCTGGAAAACTCTTTCTCAGCATTCATTATGTTAATTGGGACCTACTCTTTTGTTTCTGCCACAGGGTACTTTATCCTGTACACTATATCTGATTTCCATTGGATTTGTGCAGTCAGGGTGAACATGGGCATGGAGATGACAGCAGTACGGTCAGGTTATTGTCATCTCTCCCCAGCCATGTGCTGAGATGCACATCCCTCTGCCTGCTTCTTCCTCCAGCTGTTTTCCTCCTCGCAGCCTGAGGGTCTGTCAGTGTTCAGCTCTCTGTTAGCTGACTTTCATGCCTCTCTTGGGCTCATGGAAACATTTCTGTACCCCAGCATTATGTGTGGCACAGGGGATGCTGTGGAGCTGCGACAGGGACCCTGTAGACCTGCCATGCAGGTCCCTACTCCAATACTCTTGTGCTACCAGCAAAGGAGAGTTCTGGAACGTGCTCCTCGCCCGCACCTGCTGAGGAAAGGGAACCCTAGGCCCTTTGATGCTAGATTCCAGGCCTATTGGGGGCTCTATTGTCTACACCTTCTCCTCAGGCCAAGCACTGGGAGTGGAGCCTCTTCTCAGGGTTCAGCAGTGTCTACTTGCTCCTCTCTGGACTTGCCACCTAAAAAATGTTGAATTGGCAAATGTTGTGTTGTACATACACCTACATATATGTATACAATAAAAAATAATGTCCAATGAGGTTTAATTTTTATACTTATTAAAGACTCTTACAGGAAACCAAGTGTAAAATCAGAAAATCCTCTGTTAGATTTTAAATTGTGATTATTGCCTTGGAATCTATGTCATTGAACATCAAAGGCAGCAGCCAGGAGATCAGGTGTTTTACGAGGAGAAAGGGGTATTCAGATGCTTTTAAAATTTTCACTTTTGAAGATATAGGACAGGGTAGCCTTGGTTAAATGTTTTCTATGAGGAAACAGCACTGTCCTTTGACCACACTAGCCTATAAACACTGTTGAAGTTCATCCAGCTGAGGAGATGGTGAGCCCAGTGTGATACCTGACCAAAAGTAGCATGCGAAATAAGCAGTAATATGGCTTGAGAGTGAAGAAAGTGAGAATGATCCCTCACTGTCTAAGTAAAGTGAAAAGTTGAAATTGTTGTCCAAGTCATGCTTTTAATATGATCATTACATATTTTTTGTTAATGATTTTACTTTCCTTCCAGTTATAAAAGTGATACATGCCCATTGTACAAGACTTTACAAAGACAGAAAACTATTTTGAATGGCATAAAAATCACTCATGGTTCATTCAATCAGGGGAAAAAAATAAAAGTAACCAAGCAATATTTTTATATAATTTGCTCTAGCTTTCCCACCTTGTATTAGATATAACGTAGACCTTTATACTTTTTTTTTTTTTTTAAAAAGAGCATCATGCCGTCTGTCCTTATTGGTTCATAACCTTTTTTAATCTAAAAAATACCGTGAATAGGTCTACATGTCATGAAGTATTTTTCTTGAGAGCTCTGGTTTTTTGTGGCGATATAACTTCATTAACCAGGATGTACTATTTTTCCATTTAGCTTGTTTCAGTGTTGCTGGACATTCAAGTTATGTCTAATCTTTGCTCTTATACGTATTGATAAGATAATCAGCTTCTACACAATTTTCACTCAAGACTGGCCAAAAGGAAGAACACCATTAAAATAAAAAAAACAGACTTTGGAGCCTTAGGATATCTAAGGCATTTTCAGAGCTTAGTGTGCCATTTATAAGGACTCCTATTTTCTCATTTAAAAGAGTGGCTGTACTTGGGATTGTTCCAAATGGACTCCCTTTACAATTGAGTTTGGAATTTTTTTTTTTTTTAAAGAAAAGGGGCTGAGTTTGTCTAGAAACAGATGGTGATAAGTAAGCATGAGTGACTGGGCTTTCTTAAGTGATGATGTCTTGTTGTTTAAGGAAACCATGGAAACAATGGCAATAATGGAGCCACTGGCCATGAAGGGGCCAAAGGTGAGAAAGGAGACAAAGGTGACCTGGGGCCACGAGGGGAACGAGGGCAGCACGGCCCCAAAGGAGAGAAGGGCTACCCCGGCATTCCACCAGAACTGCAGGTAAACCGCTCTCCCCATGTCTCCAGTCTACTTGGAAACCTGCTCTGGTCACCAGGGACCAGAAGTCAGAAGGCTTGAGTGCCTCCACAAGCCCCACCAGTCTTGAGTAAATCTGAGGTTCAATTTGTTCATCTACATGCACAAGGCCTGTGTTGTCCAAACAGTAGAGGGTTTTGAGATCATTGTTAGAGGAAAGAGAAATTTATCAAGGCTGAATTCCTACTACTCATTTGGACCAAATACAAGGAGACCCTGAATATAAATTAATTTCTTATTTTCCAAATGAGAATATAGTAAAAAATAATCCTTTTAAAACTGAAATTTAAAAGTTTCGGCAACTGAAATATGTAAACTTACAGATATGTAAATGGGGCAGGCAAATTTCTACTTATAATATTTTATTGGGAGCTCTGGTAGCACAGTGGCTAAGGCACTTGACTGCTAACCAGAAGGCTGGCAGTTCAAACCCAGCAACCACTCCTGGGAAGGAAGATGGGGCAATCTACTTCTGTAGTGATACTGCCTCAGAAACCCAAGGAGGGGTCGCTATGATCGGGTCCAAATCAACAGCACATAACAACA